TGGCCTCTCTGAGCCTCAGTTTCCTTTTCTCTGTAATAGGAGCAAAAGTTCTGCCTACCGCATGCTGCGGCAAAGGATGGAATGGGTCACCTTGCTATGACCTGGCTGGAGAGGACATGGCATGGGGACCTCCACTTCAGACACATTGAAAATTAGGGCAGCAAATCCGGGCAGGCTGAGAGAAGGCAATCAGGCCTGCCAAGGCCGAGTTTCCTGACACCATCCGAACCTGACTTCCATCCCTGGCACCAGGAGTCTGTCTATGTTGGCCTCGCGGCCCCAGTGGGTCTGAGGACTTGAAGGACTCATGCCCACAGTCTCAAACAGCCTACATGCACTCTAAGAGGACTCGGTCATGCCTGCCCTGGAGAGCTCCCTGGCTAGGATCCCCATCCCAGAGCCTCAGAGAGGGAGAAGCCCTCACTGCACAGAGGAGGAAACTGAGGACCAGGGCAGGTGGGAACTTGGCCAAGGTCACCTGCTTCTCCTCTCCTTTAGCTTCTCCTTTTATCCTGGAACTCCTCTGGTTAGTCTACGGGGAGGAGAGGAACTAGGCCCAGGTTAGAGAGGAGTCATTATTGCTCAAGGTCCTATAGCAAGGAGTGGGGACACGGGGGGTTTTGCTTCCGGCTCTGGGATCCTCCCCAGTCATCTGTCTCTGGACTCCTCCCCACCCAGGCTGTCCTGCAGAAAGGGACAGGCTGGCTGAGTCAGGAGAGCCCTGGATCAAAAGACAAGAGATGTGCATTTTTCTCCCGGCTTGGATAATATGTCCTGGGTCTTTCTGGCCTCAATTCCCCCATCTGTGAAAAGAGAAGGTCAGAATCGATCAGGAATGACAAACTCACGGCACACGTACAACACGCTCTACTCCCCTGCCAATGGCAGACATTACTAATCTCTCCCCACACTCATTCCCATGAAGCCAAGACTTGGCCCCAGAATGCTTCTCAGCACAGCAGTGCGGGCCTGGCCATCCTAAGGCTGGGTAATATCTGAGCCCCCGCAAGGGAGGGCAAGGGAGAAAGATGTAACAGTCACTGAACATCCAGTGATTCAAGCCACTGGGAGAAATTAGCTGATTTAATTTTCATAAGGGAGGTGTGCAGCGGCTGATGCTCAGAGAGGCTACGTGACTTGCCTTTGGACCTACAGTGGGAATGGGACCTTGAACACAGGCAAAGCGTGTGCTGGGCCTACCTCTCCCAGATGGGTAATCACCAGGTAAAGGCTGGTACAATCTCATCCCAGTCTGCCTTTGGCCTTACTAAGTGTATGCCCCATGCCCATTTTACAGCTTCAGAAACTGATTCGCAGGGAGGGGCTGTCGCCTCCAGAGGAGGAAGGACTTGAGAAATGTCTCGTTCTGCCCCATCACTATTTATCTGGTTAATGTGTGCTAAATGCTTTATTTTGGTCCTCGTGGGACATCCCAAGAGCCATGACTCATATTATCCCACTTCACAGATGAGGAACTGAGGTGCCCCAGAGGAAGTACCCCCGCCCCCTGCCAAGTGGCTTGAGTGGAAACCAGAGTGGTTTACGGTGGAGATAAGGGGGTAAGAGCAGTGGAGGGGAAGTAAAGGACTATAGGGACCCAAGGGAAGATAGAGGTGTGGGAGCCGCGTGACCCAGGCAGGAAGTGGCTTCTCCTCTCTGGGTCTTGGTATCTACATCTGGAAAATGGACCAATCTCACCTAAGGCAGGCTTTCACGAAGTGGGGCTGAGCTAGACCAAAAGATACTCTCCCCAGGTCAGCTTCCTCACCCAGCAAGGGCAGAGCAGGACTCAAATCGCCCAGCACATGGGTGGCCTTGTCTGCAAATATCCCTTCCTAGGCCAGTCCTGCCCAGACCAGCACCTTCAGACTCTGTGAGTTCGTCCACTGAGGGCCTCTGTGACACGCTGGTGTAACATCACTCAAGGCAGGTCCCTTTCCTAAGTACCTACGGGCACCAGACACTGGGGCCATACAGTCCTTTAACTGTCACCTGATAGGGAGATATTTATTGTTCCCATTTTCAAGACAAAGAAAGTAAGTCTCAGAAGTATACAGTAAATGACCCGACGAACCACAACAAGTGGAGACAGACTGTCAGAACTTGAACACAGACCTGACTCCTAACCCCTCATCATACCTTCGGTCTCCAGGTGACCCCTGCCTGCTCCCGGGCTCACTCCCAGCCACCAGCCACCCTCTCCTGTCTTCCTACCAGTGAACTCCTACTCCACTCTCAAAGCCCGAACTCAAATGTCTCCTCCTCCTCCTCCTCCTCCTGACTCCTGATCTAGGCCCTCACAGAATACTTGGAGTCCAGCCCACAGATCTATTTCTACCAGATACCTTTGCCAGCTCTGTACCCTTGGCCTCCAACATAGGTCTGTTCACACAGGGGATACCAATTACCACCCCCCTATTTCACCTCTCACCACTCTCCTTAACTCTCTGTGCCCCAGACTCAGAGGTTTTCCCACTGTTTCTCCATAACAACACACACTCCCCCACCTCAGGGCCTTTGCACATGCAGTTCCCTCTGCCTGCTAAGCCCTTCTCCTAGCTCCATGCCTGGCCAACTCCTACATGTTTCCTTCAAGATTCCTCTGCACCCCACGCCTCTCTCTCTGGGCCCTTATCGCATCTGTGATTATATATTAATTTATTTGGCAACTTGTTTGCTATTTGGCTCACCCTCTAGACTCAAATATCTGGGAGGCCAGGGACCTGTTCACAATTCTGCAGCAAGGACTTACCCGGGCTGACCACTCTCCACAACCCCAGGGGCCCTGGGATGTGTCTGAACGGAAGGGGAGAAAGAGCACCGTCTCTCCTTAAGTCGAGCAAACTGTTACTCTCAGTCAGCACCACCTCCTGGGTGCCACCTGGTGCCTCCTACAGCCCTCACTCACGAACCCCATCACCACACCACTCAGCCTCAGTTTGAAACTCCTGGTTTATAGCAGAGGCCCATACAGGGTCATGGATGTTTGCATCAAGGCAGGTTTGGGAAAATGAGGTCACCAGAGAACCAAGGGGTTGGGGGTTGGGAGGGGGTTGTCAGCAGGTCACTGAGCCTGACTCCTGGGGCTTGGCGGAGTCAGACACTCCCCAAACCCTAGGTCACAACCAGGGAAGAAGCAAAAGAAGGCACTGTGCATGAGCTAGGGAGAGTTCATGCTCCAGGAAGAACTGGGGAGTGGAGGGCAGAGCCGGGGAGCCTTCCTGGGAGAGGTGGGCCTGAAGCTAGACCCAAGAGCAAGAACAGATAAGCAGCTCGTGGAGGAGAGGGCAATCCTGGCAAGGACACCTTCAGGAGGAAGAGTCCAGGGGCCACACAGGAGGGCCTGGGCAGGCGGTCAGCTGAGCGAGGTGACACACTGTAAGTCACTTCCCCGGGTGGAAAGACCACATCACCAAGGCAAAGGCCCTCGTGGCTTCCATGCAGCCACTCATCAGTACAGCCTTTTCCAACACTGTTGGGTGCCTGGCCCCACACTGGCGAACCCCTGCTCCCCCAACACTGGAGGGGTGCGAGGCAGCCGGGCCGGGCTCCCTGAAGCGTCGACCCAGCTTCAAGTTGTGTGGGCTTGGTCAACTCACTTTCCCCTCTCCAAGCCTCAGTTTCTCCATTGGGCCGATTTTATACTAATTGCTCCAGGTCACACAGCTGCTGCGTGGTAGGACTGGGCGGGAGCTGATTCTTTCTCCAGGGGTCATGAAGTGGCTTTTCGGACACCAATCCATCCTCTTCTGAGATGAGCCCCACTAGGGCCAGCACCCTCGGCCCCCACCCATTTTAGGCAATTCATCCAGTGAAGCGGTCATTTATGGAGCACCTACTGCACACCAAGCTCCTACACGGTGAAGTGCATCTATGCTTCCCCCTCCCATATGTGGAGACTCAAAGGGGCAGTCCCTTGGCCCAGGTCACCCTGTGAGACAAGAGGCCTTGGTGTCTCGCCTGCCTAACAGGAGGCTGAGAAGAGGGTCAGCAACAGGACCAGCCTGGCCTATCGCTGAAAGCAAGCCTGATCCCAGCAGCACCGTGGCAGGGCCTGGACTCACCCTTGGTGACCCCGGGACACTGCCCCAGATGCACTTGCTCTGCCCACTGTCCAATCGGCCTAAAGGCCCCAGAGGTGGAATTGATACCCCACACCCACAGGTGAGCCTCTTCTGTTCACCCCCATTCCTCCTCCAGCCCAGCAGCCCCAGCCAGACCCACCTGCCACTGATCAGGACCCCCAGATCAGAGAGGGTGGGCAGCCATCTGACCACACAGAGCAGGGCAAGTGGTGGCCCCTTTTGGGACTCAAACCCACCTCTAACCGAAGCCCAGGCAGGCAGATGGACCCGGCCTGGTGGAGAAAACCCAAAACTTTTGCCAACTTCTGAGCAGGCAGGCGGCTGGGCCTGCCAGGGGCGAGGCTGGGGGGCTGGGGGTAGCGGGGACCAGCAGCGTGGCCCAGTCTCTTCCAGGCCGGCCGCACCAGGCCCTACCCAAAGCCCCAGGAGTATAGGGAGGTCCTGATGCCCCGGCCCGGCGCCCCTGGCTTGGCGCCCCCAGGCCCACCCTGCCGGCCCCCTCTCCACCTCCCATCCCCGTCCGGGGGCGCCAGGCCCCGCAGCCGCGGCCAGAGGCGGCGCCGACAGGCTCAGATTTCAGATTTGGCCTAGACCCGGCCCGGGGGCTCGGCCCGGCTCCCGCTCTCGGGGGGCTGGCAGGGGAAGGGCGAGTCGGAAGCGGTCCCCGCGCGGACAGGACCCCTGAGCCCCCCGCCCAGCCCCCTCCCCCGCGGCATCACAACAAAAGGCCGCGCCGGGCAGGTCCCCGTGCGCCCGCCCGGCGCTCCGGGATCGCGGCTCGGACCCGGGGGCGGAGGTTGGAGAGGTGGACAGGAGCCCCCGCGGCTCCGCGATCCAACACCACGGTGGTCCCGCGTGGGGGTTCCCCCATGCCGGCCGGGACTGGGGGCCCGCGGACGGGCGGGGGGCGCTCACCTGGGCCGGTCGGCTGGCTGGCGCACCGGCAGACAGACGCACCGGAGGGCGGACCGCCGGACGGCCAAGGGGTCGGGCAGTCGGCGGCCTTGGCCGCTCCGGCTCCCAGGCCGGAATGGATTCCGGGCCGGGAGAGACAGATCGAGAGAGAAAGGGAGGAGGAGAGGAGGAGGCGGCGGCCCGGGGAGGGGAAGAGGAGGGAGGGAGCGCGCGAGCAGGGAGGAGGGGCCCGGCAGGCCGCCGGGAGGAGGAGGAACGAGGAAGCGTGCGGGGACGGATACCCGCCGGTGACCTAGGAGAGACCCGCACGCGGGGCCCCCACCCCACTGGAGTCAGGGGTCCGGGAGGGGCAGGCCAGGGGGCGGAGACGCGGAAACCCTGCCCCCACCCGGCCGGGCGAGAGGGCCCCACCCAGTGAGACCCCAAAATGCCCTCCCCAACTACCCCCAACCCACCCACCCTATTTACCCCAAATCTACCTCTCTGGTAATTACGCGTAATGGTGATGATAATCTCAGCACTAACGGAGCCCTCACTCCTTGCCAGGCATGGCGCTAATGGCCAGGTGGACTTTAGGATCTATTCCTAACAACACCCGAGGCTGGGCAGGCTGAGGATTATCCCCATTTTACAGATGAAGAGACTGAGTCACAGAGAAGGAAGTCACCTGACAAGAACCAGGCCTTGGACTCTGGCCTTGACCTCAGTTTCCCAAAGCAGGGACTGGGACAGGAAGGACAGCCTGGGGAGGAGCAACACTTATTTTAATAGATATGGGCTCATTTTAATGTGCATTTAAAAACAAAGCAAAACAGTAACTAAGGCAGCTCATCAGAAGTCACTGAGTTCTGGATATTCCTGCTTATGAGGGGGCTGAAGCTGGTATTTAGTGGCAATCACACTTCCAAGTAAATAAAGAGGAAAATTACATCTAGATGCAGGGGGCAAGGAGGAGCCTAGCAGAGAAAGGAGACAATAAGGAAATGCAACTTTAGGCCACAGAGGCTCCCCCAACCACTGTGCCAACCGCTTTAACCCCCTCCCCACCTCCTGGCCCAGGCTGCAGGACTGCCCTATTAAGGGTGGGCACCCCACCCTTGGCTCTTCGCTTGACCTCCTGGAATCATGGCCTAGGGAAGGGTGGGTCTGAATCCAGCTTTAAATACCACCACCTGCTTCTTCTCTCCTCTGAAAGTTCTCCCATTTCACAAGATGGGAAACTAAGGCCCAGCCAGATCAAACAGCACCAGGCCTAGGCTACTCGTAAGAGGAGCTGGGAGGGGAAACCTAGAATATAGGAGCCAAAGGCCTCAGAGTACAATAGAGCCTCCAAGAGATCAGGAATGAGCAAGGCCTGGAGCCAGACTGATTTGGGTTCAAATCTAGACTAGGTCCTGCTGCACCTGGTACAAATCTACCAGCTTCTCTAGCCCAGTCCCCTTGCCTGTGAAACAGAAGTGAAGGTGGCCACAGAGGACTCCTGAGAGGGTGAGAAGGGAGAAGTGTGAGGGTGGCTGAGCTTGTGCTCAGCTAATGGTAGCTCTTACAGTCAGGAAACTGAGGCCAGAGAGGGAAGAAGCTGCTCGAAGTCGCACAGGAGGCCAGCAGCAGAGCCAGCACCAGAAGCCAGCCTGAAAAGAGCTGCGCTTGTTTGCAGGGCTGGCTTAAAGATTAACCGCAGTTTCCTGGGATTCTGGGCGGGCCCCTGGCTGGAGGAGCAAGTTTCTCAGCCCTTATTCACTCCTGAGGGCCTTTCCAGGCCACTCTGGGCCAGGGATAGGACATGAATCCAGTGGGTGCCGGAACCCACGCTTACACCGCTCACAGGAGCTAAATGCGTTCATCTCTTTCCAACTCCAAGTTCAACGATGTCACATTGGTGACTTGATATTCGCCACGGCCGGTGGGAATATTTTCACCTTGGAAATTAGACTTTTTTTTTTTTTCCTTCCAGTGAGCTAATTGTTAAATATTTACAGGCACATCACATTCATCCCCAGGAACTCAACTGAAAGTTCTGGGCTTCTTCTGGGCCTGGGATGAAAGAAGGCTTTAAAAGCACAGACTTTGGACCCACAGACCTGGGTTCAAGCCCCAGCTCTGCCACGTCTTGTATATGTGCTGTCTAGCATGCTATTTCTCTAAGCCTCGGTATGCCAGTCTGTAATATGGACTAAAGACCGTGATTCTCTCAGAAGGCTCTCATAAGATGAAATGGGTGTTAGACACTTGGTATGTGTGAGCCCTCGTTATTCGTGCCCCTACACACTCTCTTGGAGGAGTGGGGGACGGCTGGGGCAAATGTTGGCTCTCAAGCACAGATGTGGCCTTCCACCTGGAGCCATCACTGGTTTTGAGGCTTGGCTCAGAGGCTGAGGTTCTCAAGAGCCCCTTCAGGAGGATGTGGCCAACACAATGGTTTCATTATTGAGTGTTGGAAGCGTTTGTCATTTTCAAACCACCCCTCTGGGCCTTTGCTCAGGCTGTAAGCCAGCGGAGAATGCTTGCCCCATATCTCTAGCTTCCCAGCCCCCCCTGTTCATCAAAGTCCTGAAAAAGTGCCACCTCCCCCAGGACATGCTTCCTGACAAACCCCTGGTGGAGCCATACCGCAAGTCCCTCTGGGGTGTGTCTGTCCCCACCCTGAGGGCGGGGACTATGGCCTGACCCATGCCCAGCACAGAGCAGATACTGCCCAGTTGGCCGGAGAAAGAGGGATATCCACAAAAGCTCAAGTTCCAACTCTCCCATTGACTATATGACCTGCCCTCTCTGAGCCTCAATTTACTCATCAGTATACTGGGGGCAACAATCGTACCAACGTCCATGATGATGCAGATATAAGAGTCGCTGATCTGGCCTAGTGGATAAGTGACTCTGTGTGCATTATTTTGTTTAAAACTTTGTTAGTAAAACAGCAACTCGCCACAAATTATTCATCATCATTAATGGACAGCAAACATTTATTGACCACCAACAGTACACCAAGCCCTGGGCCAGGCCTAGAAAGCCACAAGGACGATCTCCCCACCCAAAGCACTCAGCAAATGACAGATATTATGGATATCAACATGTTATGTCTCTGGAAACCTCTTCCCTCTGACACCCATCCTGAGTCAAAGCTACACGGAGGACAGGCTGGAAGGTTTGGGGGGAGGCCTCGCTAACTGGCCACAGTCCCCTGGGTCAGACTGGTTTCCTGTGACACGGGATCTGAGGCCCCACCCCCCACCAGTAACTCTGGCTCAATGGCCTGTCTGCCACGCCCACCCCAGCCCAGCTCACACTTCAAGCAGCAGAGACTCGGAAGCTGACCCGTGACAGACTCTCAGCGGGAAATTCCAGACCAGCCCCGTCATTCCCCCGAAGGTCTACTACAAGTTGTCTGTTCAAAACCACCGGGCTCAGTGTGAAAGAACAGGGTGGAAAAGTAGGCAGGCTCTAGCCTGAGGTTGTGGAATGGGCTTGGCACCTTCCATGGCACCGCACTTTACAGTTTACACAGAGATGCCCAGTTCTTCGGTGCCTCAGCCTGATCTGGCCCTTGCCAGCCACTCAGGCCTCCTACGCCGGTCCCGGTCGCCTTCCCTCCTTGTCCAGCCTGCCTCCCTGCAGCCACTCTATCAGAGCCGATCATCCCGCCTGGAGACCTTGCACCTGCTGCCCCTTCTGCCGGCAGTGCTCTCCATGCCCTAGTGCCTGGCCAGGCCTTACTCTTCCCTCCTCTGGCCAGTCCATATTTACCGAGCATCTACCGAGCACCTAGGTGCTAGGGTCTGTGCTGGGGGCTAGGAATGCAGAGCGGGGAACAAACTAAGTCTGGTCTCTGCCTTGGAGTTGCTCACAGCCTTAAGGAGAGGGAAGTGCGACCCATGCACTAGGCATGGTGATGCAGCGAGCGCTGGGGGCCGGAGGGGCCCAGAGGAGCCCCCCAGCCTGTGTGATGGAGTAGGGAGGCTGGTGAAGAAAGAAGGTTCTTCTCTGGAGAGGGTAGGAACCTGAGGAGAGGTGCTGTTCCAGGCAAAGGGAACAGCATGAACAAAGACACACAGCCCAAACCACTGCTGTGCTAGCCACTGTGGCCAGGGCAGGGCTGATGGGCACAACATGATGGGCGGGCTGGAGCTGGGGAAGTGAGGTGGGAAGTGTGGCTGGGCTGAGCCCTGAAGACCCCTGCATGCCAGGCTTCTATCCCAGAGGCCTCGGGGAGCCGTGGAGGCTCGCGAGCAGAGAAGGGCCTGAGGAGATGTGCTATCACTGAGCGGGAGACAGACTGTGGGGTGCGAGGAGCAGTGCTGACGCCAGCCACCGCTAAGCCAGCTGAAGCCAAGTCTCTGGCTTTCCTGGTGTGTGTGCCTGGGAGTTCCAGGGAGCGAGGCCAGCGCAGCCTGAAGGCATAAATCACAGGACACTAGAGAACGTGCCTGGCCTCAGGAGAGTCAGAAGGAGCTAGGAGAAGGTGAGCCTGTTCTCCTCAGAGGCCAGCTGCCAGGAGGGTGGCCAACCTCCAGCATGTTCCTCCAGCCGCCACCCACCTTCCAGTGAAGGGAAGCAGGTGGAGCCCAAGCAAACCAAGGTGTTAACCACTGGGCGCAGCTCCGCACAGTCAAAATCCTCCCAGCCCCAACTTCTGTGTACGCACGGCCAATTCACAGATGGGAAGCCTGAGGTTCAACTGCTTCTCTGTCCAGCCCAGGGTCTGGTGACTGAACAGGGGATGTCACCTGCAGAAAAGACCTACCCATGTGAAGAGAAGGGAGACACTTGGCCCCACAGCCTCCTGTAAAGGCTGAGAGCCAAGAAACTCAGCCACACACCCCCACCACTCTCCTCAGGCCACAGTGGAGGACCAGAGAAGGACAGACACTCTCTCAAGGTCACACAGTGTGTCTCCAGCAGACAGAGCCAGCCCCGCTCCAGCCCAGGCCTCCTTCCACCATGTCTCAGAATGTTTGTGAGAAAAGATGAAAAGAGCTGGGGCCCTTGATCTGTCTGGCCTGGCGGGAGGGCAGAGGGCAGGGCGGAAATCTGCAGCCAGAGCGGTGACCCCAAAGATCAGAGGGGGTTAGAAGCCTGCTGAGCAGACAACAGACAGCCTGCGACAGGAGGGCTTCAAAGAATACTTGTAAAAATAATCATCCCAGCACCAGCTTGCCGTCACTGTGCACAGAGCTTCC